CTCACTCTGTCGCCCAGGCTGGAGTGCAGTGGCCGGATCTCGGCTCACTGCAAGCTCCGCCTCCCGGGTTCACGCCATTCTCCTGCCTCAGCCTCCCGAGTCGCTGGGACTACAGGCGCCCGCCACCACGCCCGGCTAATTTTTTTTGTATTTTTAGTAGAGCCGGGGTTTCACCATGTTAGCCAGGATGGTCTCGATCTCCTGACCTCATGATCCACCCGACTCGGCCTCCCAAAGTGTTGGGATTACAGGCTTGAGCCACCGTGCCCAGCCGAGTTTTTTTTTAATGTGGTAAAAGGAAAGGTTCCAATTTCAATCTACTGCATATGGCTAGCCTGTTATCTTAGCACAACTTACTGAATAGAAAGTCCTTTCCCTGTTGCTTGGTTTGTCAGCTTTGTCAAAGATCAGATGCTTGTAGGTGTGTGGCTTTATTTCTGAGTTCTCTAACCTGTTTCATTGGTCTATGTGTATGTTTTTGTACCACTACTGTGCTGTTTTGGTTACTGTAACCTTGTAGTATAGTTTGCAATTCTGTAGTGTGCTATCTTGGGCTTTGTTCTTTTTTGCTGAGGATTGCTTTGGCTATTTGGGCTCTTTATTGTTCCATATGAATTTTTCTTATTCTGTAAAAAAAAAAAAGTTGTTAGTAGTTTCATAGGAATAGCATAGAATATGTAAATTGCTTTGAGTAGTACAGCAATTTTAGCAATATTGATTCTTCCTATCTATGAGCACGGAATGTTTTTCCACTTATTTGTGTCATCTCTGATTTATTTTAGTAGTGCTTTGTAATTCTCATTGTAGAGATCTTTCACCTTGCTGGTTTGCTATAATCCTAGATATTTTGTTCTTTTTTGTAGCTATGGTGAATAGCATTGCATTCTTGATTTGCCTATCAGCTTAGACATTACTGACATATAGAAATGCTACTGATTTTTGTACATTTATTTTGTATCCTGGAACTTTGTTGAACTTGTGTATCAGATCTTGGAGTGTTTGGGCAGATACTGTGGGATTTTCTAGATATAGAATCACATTATCTGTGAAGAGAGGTAGTTTGAATTCCTTTCTTCCTATTCGGATCACTTTTATTTCTTTTTCTTGCCTGTGACTCTGACTAGGACTTCCAGTATTATGTTGAATAGGAATGGTGAGAGTGGGCATCCTTGTCTTGTCCCAGTTCTTAAGGAAAATGCTTCGAGCTTTTGCCTGCTCAGTATGATATTGGTTATGGATTTGTCACAGGCCCCCAATCTCTTCTGGCTTGTAGAGTTTCTCCTTAAAGGTCTGCTGTTAGCCTGATTTTGGGGGGACATTCCCTTTGTAAGTGACTTGCCCTTTTTATCTAGCTACCTTTAATATTTTTCTTTCACGTTGACCTTGGAGAATCTGATCACTGTGTCTCAGGGATGGTCATCTGGTATAGTGTCTTAAAGGGGTTCTCTGAATTTCTGGATTTTGAATATTGACCTCTCTACCAAGGTTGGAGAAATTTTCATAGACAGTATCCTTAAATATGTTTTCCAAATTGCTTTCTCTCTGTCTCCCTCTCTTTGAGGGATGCCAGTGAGTCTGCATAATCCCACATTTGGTCTCTACATAATCACACATTTTTGGAGGTTTTTAATTTTTTAAAATTCTTTTTTCTTTATTTTTGTTTGACTGGGTTAATTCAAAGAACCAGTCTTCAAGCTGTGATATTGTTTTCTCAGCTTTGTTTATTCTGCTGTTAATACTTCCGATTGTGTTATGAAATTCTTGTAGTGAATTTTTAGCTCTATGAGATCAATTTGTTTCTTTCTTGAAATGACTATTTTGCCTTTCATCTCTTGAGATAGTCTTACTGGATTACTTAGATTCCTTGGATTGGATTTAAACTGTCTCCTGAGTCTCAATGATCCCCATTGCCATCCAGATTTTCTATGTCTGTCATTTCAGCCATTTCATTCTGGTTAAGAACCATTGCTGGGGAGTTAGTGTGGTTGTTTGGAGATAAGAAGACCCTCTGCATTATAGAGTTGCCAGCATTCTTGCACTGGTTCTCTTATCTGTTTTGGCTGACATTTCTTTAACCATGGTGTATTTTGAGTATAGTCAATTGACTTCATTTCTGAATGTTTTCAGAGCACTGAGGCTTTGTGTAGGGTCTTTATTTGTGGCTGAATTCTTGCCCTTGTTTTCACATGGGAGTATGTTAGCAAAGTATTTTTATTGTTATAGTTTTGACTACAAACCAATAGATGACACTTATGCATAATGGCTGGTAAATGGGCTCTTACTAAGGCATGTGGTTCCTCTGTATTTCCTTGTGTTTACAGCCATGCTCCTCCTTAGTACTCTGAGAGTGTGGGCTTCTCTTTCACTTCAGTGCCAGCCACAGGTCTTGGCTTGGCATTCCCAGGTTGTACACTGCAGCCCTGGGGCAAGCTCAGGCTTTTTGTTCTTTCCCCAGCTCGGGGGCAGCAGGGGTATGGGGACCTTGGCAGTGCCAATAGCATAGGTCTTGTCACTTGTCTTTGGGAGCTCCACCTTAAAGAAAGGTAGAACTGCTGCCAATCAGAACAGTCAGCCAATGGTGAGGTGGCTTTGTGTGGAGTCCAAGCCAGGGAGCCTTGCCTGGTGAAGAGCAGGAGGAGTGGGGGCTCACACGGAAGACAGTCGTGCCTCTTCTCTGTAGGTCAGCTGTGGTGTGCTGGAGGCTCAGGTAAGGCACTCAGGCTCTTTTTTCTTCCCCAGCTTGGTGGCAACAAGGATGAGTACTACTGCAGCAGCAATGGCAGAGGGACTGGTTGCCAGTTGCCAATGGGAATTCCACCCCAGAGAAACACAGAGCTGCCACAGATGGAAGTGATCAGGCAGAAGTAGAGTGGCTGCGTTGAGGGCCAAGGTCGGGAGGCCCTGCCCAGTAAGGAGTAGCAACGCCTGGGACCTGCATGAAAAACAGTCTGGCTGTTTTTCTGTATGGTACGTGTGGCATGTTGGAGGCCCAAGATAGCTTTTGAGCTCTATACTGTCTCCCTAGCCTCAGGGCAACAGGGACTGGGGGGACTTTGGCAGTGGCAAAAGCTGTGGGCCTATTGTGTTACCTCTGGAATCTCTGTCCTAGAGAAACGCAGAGCTGCAGCCAGCCCAAGTGCTCAGGTTGGAGGGTGGGGGTGAGGTGGGTGGCTGTGCTGAGGACCTAGGCCGGTTGGCTTTGCTTGGCAAGGTACCCTAGAGGTGAGGCCTACAGTCTGTCCACATCTCAGTATCCTAGATGGGGCCCTTATTGTTGGGGCGCATGGGAGATCCTTGCCTCCCTTGTTGGCAGAGCTATGGCAGCTGGTCCCAGGGTGCTCAGGAATCCAAAGCCCTTGGAGCTTCACATGGGCCTGAACAGGGATCTGCTGTGACTCCATGCAGCTTTCTGTGTCAGTCTGGGGTTCCCAGGGAGTAGGGTTGGGCAGGATCTCTTGTGCCTAGGTTTGCAAAGATTCATGGCAGCGGTGTGTATGGTGGAGAGCCTTCCTTGGCTCTGTGCCAATCCCAGGCAGGCAGCTGTCCTGCCTTACTCCTCTCTGCTCTCCATGGGTTACCACTGCTTCCTTGATGAATCCCAAGGTGGCCTCCTGGATGAGCCAGTTGAAAAGCCACTTGCCACTTACAAATTTATAAGTTTACTTGCCATTCTGTCTTCTCTCCTGTGAAAGCAGTTCACACTAGCTACTTCTAGTCAGCCATGTTGATCTTGAAATCTAGATTGTATTGCAGTTCCAAAATTATTTTAGAATTGTTTAGCACGTACTTCTAGAGAAACAAACCTACTGAAAATATTTTATGATGTGTGTATGGTCTGTTCTCCACACACTTGCCCATGTATTAGGGCATATGTTAAATACTGTATTGATGGTTTACCTGTGTGAGTTATTTTTTCCCTTTAATAGGTTCACTAAATTTGCTTTCAGTTTTAGTTTCTTCTTATCCTTTGTGATTTAGTTTTATTTTTTTTGAAATATATGAAACCTGAAACTGATTCCAAAAGTAAAAAAATATGCAAGGTATACTTAGAGAAGTTCCATTCCTTCCCTAGTTCTCCCTCTTTCATCTTGTAGGTAATCAGCTATATTGTATTCTTACATTTCACCTGTTTCATTTTGTAAAGCTAAGTATCTTTCTAATGTCCTTTCTTTCTTTTTTTTTTTAATCCTTCTTCCTTACCTAACGGTGGCATACAAGTTTTCCCTTTTTCAGGTTTTTTTTCACTTAACATTATCTCCTGGAAATCCCTACAGGTCAGTTTATAGAGATTTTTAAATTGCTTTTACAACTCTATGTATAGCTATTTGTACCACATTATTAACCATAACTTTCATTATACTGTAGTTTATAACAAGCTCGTCCAAGCTGCCTTATTTTTTTTGTTGTTGTCATTCTGGTCTGTTTTGTTTTGGGCTTTTAGCAGCCCAAAGCCATTGTTTTTAGTTTCTGTCTCTAGTGATAAGCGGAAAAGAGGAATGAAAAAGGGGCTTTACTGGCACAACCAGAAGCAGAAACTAAGAATCTGTGACTGTATTCTCTCCCTTGGACACCCCTAGAACTTTATGGTATATGGTATATACATTGGCTTCTTCAACCAATATCCAATGCTTGAACGTTTATGTGGTTTTGAGTATTTTGTAATTATAAATAATGCCATAATGATAAACTTGTACATATGTATTTTTATTGTTTGGTTTATGACATCTGTATGATCTATACAATATAAATAACCTAAGAAAAATATAGACTAACTATATATGATTCCTAGAAATGTTTATAAAGTGAGAAAGCATCAACATACAGCCATTAAAATTCTTTTCAGCATTTTCTCATCAAATCTATCATTATTGTAATTTAGCTATAACTTTGTACAAGTGACAGAGAATGCTCATGTAAATGTTTTATAAATTTGAAATACTGAAATTTCACAATAGATCAATTTTTCTATTTAGTGGAATAAATGTATTTTCTTTATGTAGCTCATAATGAAGTACCAAATGAAAGGCTTATAGTTGAGCATCAAGAATCAATGTCAAAAACCAAATTGCAAGTAAAGAAACAAGAAACTTCTACAGAGCAACCACTCACCAGTAAGTATAAAAATTACACATAACTTTAAATTATTTTAAATTAGTCACAGCAAAGATATTTTTCTTCAGTTCATGAGTCTTGAATTTACAGAAATTTTACCTTGGACCTAAAGTGTGAATACCATAAGATAACTAGAGAACAAAAGCTAGAGTATTTATTACTTTTAGTTAGTATTTCTGGTTGTAATGGTATTTTGTAGCCATGATCATGTGCTCATTATTCACCAAGGACAATAACAGGCCAATAATTGTCCTTCAAAGAGTGTGTACCTTTTATCCAACTCTAGGAAGTTACAGGTCCAAAAGCCCAATTTATTCCGCTGACCTATTCAGTAAGCTGCTTCCATTTGGCATCAATCAATGAACAGAAAATTTGCTGAGACCTGTAACTCAAATAAAGTTCAGAGAAGCCAAGGGGAACAGTGGCATAGGAGGCTTGTTAGATGGACTCCAGGGCATTCTGTTGGTTGGGGCCTGCTCCAAGGTAGAGGCCTTTTTGGTAACTTTAAAATGATTGCAATCAGGATTCCGTCAAGCGTAATGTGAGACTGCCAGTAGCAGAATAGGTTCACGAATTGCTTGGCCTCTTGTGTATTTGTTGCAATAGAGAGGGACCATAGTTTGACAGTTATCTCCTCAGGCGTGAGACATGTTTCCCCTTTCTAGTTTACTCCCAGGAATTCCCCTTGGGTAACAAGGTCTTTGTGTTTTTTATGTATTAATGGCCCCACCATGTTGCTGTATTGGGCCAATACAACATCCAGTCCTTGCTGGGTAGTGGACTTGCCTGGGCCTACCAGTAGGGAGTCGTCAATGTCTTGGAAGGTTAATTGGAACAAAACTGTTTCCAGATCATGGTTTTGCGGAGGGATTTTAAAGGTGTATTCCAACCTGTTCCATATAAGACAAACTGTTCCTGATCATCTGTGTGGACAGGAATGCTGAAAAGGGCATTTGCCATGTCGATTGCTTTATACCTACTTCCCTCAGCTTGGGTAATTACCTTTATGGACAGTCACAATGTCAGGTCATAGTAGTGTTCTAAGATGTACCATAGCATTAAGCTTCCCTTAATCAATGGAGTTTATAGGCACCCAAGGCGATACACAGGCCAACTTAGTTATTGCATGGAGAAATAGTCTCATGAACATCTTTGGCTTTATGATTATGAAGAGCTGAGCAATAAGGGCAGTGATTTCTATTTCTCCCTCAGGTAATTTCTGGAGACTAATCTCTAGACACTTGTGGTTTAGTAAGTTTACAGTCTTCCACATGCTTCACTAAAATGACTTTAACTGCAATAGTTCCCATCAGGGCTTGACGCTGATGTGATTGGGGGTTCACACAGAAGGTACTTCTATATCAATAATATATTCAGTAGAGGGAGTCATATAAACGGAGGCTTGTAGCGGCCCAGTGGGACCCACCCATAGTTGTGTTTGGGTAAGGGTCGTGTTTTTGGTGGCTTCAGACCACACACCATATAGCATTATCTGTTTCACCCTCATCCTGGTGTCAGAGATTGTGGAGATCAGTCATTGGTAAACTAGTGTTCGAATGGTGTGAGTTATGCAGTTCTGCAGTATGACCTCTTTGAACTCTGACTTGGTATACATCCTCAGGTGCCACTGTGGAAATAGGTCTGTTGGCCTAACCCCTAATTTTGTTTTGTTTTGAAAGCTGAGACTTCTGGGTAAACACAGACCATGTTCTCTGATTCATCTTAAGATCACTATGATGGGTAGAGGAAATAGCACATGTGTTAGTTATAGGTATCACTACCATTTTGACTCTAGTGGGGCTGTATGTTGGCCCTATGCCCTACTGCCTGGCCAGAAGATCCTTAGTGGGGAGTCCATCAAGCTCTTCTTTGAGACTTCATTGTTGAGTGACTAGACAATGCTTGCAGTGTCAGGGAACTCATCATGAGTGGGCCAAACTTTCAGAGAACAAATGATAGCCTATAGAGAAAGGAGAGTATCTCTAGTGCTCATATCTCTTTTTTTTCTCTGCCACCCTTCCTCATCTTCCTTGGACACTTTTAGGACACTCAGAACGAGGGGCCCTGTTGTGACACACTATATACGGTGCCACTGTCACACACTATCTTAACATGCTTACCTCCTTTATGGTAGAAGCAAACTACGCAAGTTCCTATAAACTCCTCAGGTCACTGGTGAGGTGAACCTGAGAGAACTTTATTCTTTCCAATTTAGTATAAATCTCAAATAAGTGTGTCATCATAGGCTGTCTGTTCATGCCAGAGACATATTTAGAGTTAACAATAGTCATTGGGTGCAACTCAGCAAGCAGTGTTTGCAGGGACTTGATAACAAACTACTTTGTTTTCTGGTTTATCTTTCTGTGTTTTATTTAATATAGATAGATATCTCTCTATATTATTCTTATTTCCTCTTCTTTCTTACTTAAAAGATAGTATTCTAGATATTTTCCCTTTTGGTTTTTTTCCACTAAACATTATTTCATAGAAATTTCACCAAGTCAGTTTGTAGGGATCTTTTTCATTCCTTTTATAAAGGTATGTGCAGTTTTTTGGACCATATTATAGCCCATAGTTGATGTTGTCATAGTTTATATGCTTTACTCAACAGATCTATGCTTGTACATTTAGGTGGTTTTGAGTATTTGCAATTATGCTGTAATGAATAACCTGGTGCATATGCATTTTCATTGTTTGGTTTATGAATATGTATTAATTGAAAATATAAAAAACCTAAGAAAGCCAGAGACTAAGATAAAACATATTCAAAGTGCAGGAATATTGATATGATGAGATAGTCCCAACACACGCCCATTGAAACTCTTCTCACAATTTTCATAGTAGATATAGCATCTTGGTAATTTATTCATAACTCTATAAAAATGAGAGAAAATGCCACTGCACACTGGTAAATTTGAAATCTATAGATTTCAAATAGATTTATTTTTAATTTATGGACTAAACACATTTTTTTCTATAGCTCATGATAAAGAACCAGATGAAAATCTTACACTTGGGCATCAAGACTCAATGTCAAAATCAGAAATGCAAGTGAAGGAACAAAGCACTCTCAAAGGACAAAGAATTACTAGTAAGTATAAAAAATAAAGATAACTTTAAATTATTTAAAAGTAAGTTCATCCGAAGGTATTTTTGCTTTGGTTCACAAAAGTTTTACACTTCGACTAAAATGTGAATACCCTACCATAATTAAAGAAAAAAAGGCAAATATATTGATACATTTTGGTTGACATTTCTGGCCCTTAGATTATTTCATGACCACAGGACACACAGTATCCCCCAAGGCTTTATAACAAATGTGTAATTAATTGTCTTTCCAAAGTAGTGTGCCTTTCAGGCAACTCAAAGTAATTATGGGCCCAAAAACTTAAAACCTCTCACCTGTGGCCTTCTGCCATAGGCACCAATCAGCAAAGATATTGTTTAGATCTGTAACTCAAAACAGCAAATGGGGATCATAATAACCGAGGGGAAGGTAACCTAGGACACCTGTTTAAGGGCCTCTAGGGCATCCTTTTGGTCATGGCCCCACTGAAATGAAACAGAATTTCTGGTAACCCCATAGATGAATGAATGTCATCAAGGATCACACATAGGGAAAATGAGAGTGTATTTATCCAAACAGTTCCAGTAACTGCTGGGCTTGTTTTTTTTTGTTTTTTTTTTCTTTTTTTTTTTTGAGACAGAGTCTCACTTTCTTGCCCAGACTGGAGTGCAGTGGCCCAATCTTGGCTCACCGCAACCTCTGCCTCCCAGGCTCAAGTGATTTTCCTGCCTCAGCCTCCCATGTAGCTGAGATTATAGGCATGCCCCACCACGCCTGCCTAATTTTTGTATTTTTAATAGAGGTGAGGTTTCACCATGTTGGCCAGGCTGGTCTCAAACTCCTGACCTTAAATGATCCACCCGCCTCAGCCTCCCAAAGTGCTGACATTGTAGGTGTGAGCCATTGCACCCAGCCTGAGGTTGTTTTTATTTGTTAGACCAGAAAAGATCAAAGCTTGGCAGTCTCCTCTGGAATGAGATGTCACCCCTTAGAGATCAATCCTAGGCATTTCATCCAGGTACTAGGTAACTGTATCTTGTCTGAACTAATGGCCCAGCTAAGAGCCACTAGTGAGTCATTAGAGCAGCCAGTCATTTTGGGTGATGTCCTTGCTTGAGTCCACTTAAATAATATAATCAATATAATGAAAGGCTAGTCCTCCCTTGGGACCAGGCCACTTAGAGGTCATTATGCATTGATGACAGATATTAGAGCAGTTTGGTAGCCTTGTGGAAGGATATTAGTTATGTTTTCCAACTTATTCTATATAAGGTTAAACTGAAAATCTAAGTGAAAAAAAGATATGGGAAGGCATTTGAAATGTCAGTTGTTGCAAACCAAGTTCCCTCAGTTTGGAAAATATCCTGTATGACAACTATAGTTTCATGTGTCTTTGGTGCCCAGGGCTGTAATATAGCAATGGACCAGCAAAATCAATTGAGTCATTATGCACCTGAGGCTGTGTACAAGATATACTTAGTTATTGAATGAAGAAATAGTCTCATGGAGAACTTTTGCTTCAATAAGCTCAACAAATGACGACAGCCATTTCTGTTTCTTCCTAGGAAGCTATTTTGGGAAATAAAGGTGCTAGGCGCTGTTAATCTGGATATTTACACTCTTCCATATGCCCAACTAAAATGACCTTAAATGCCTCAGTTCCCATCAGAGATTGGGATGAATGCAAGTGGGGGTTCACATAGAAAATACATCTATACCAACAATACATTTGGTGGGGGAGGGGAATAAAATGGAGTTTTGCAGTTGTCTGAAGGGATACTCTCATGGTAGTGTTTGACCGAGGGTCCTGTTGGTGGTGCCCTCAGATGCAAAACCAGAGAGCATTACTTCTTTTCCCCAGTTCCTGGTGTCAGAGGTTGTGGGGATCACAGCCACCTGTGCACCAGTATCCTAATGACCCTAGAAATGCAATTTCCTCCCACCTTCCCTTTAAATTCTGATGTTACCATACATTCTCGGATTACCACTGGTAATATAGGGATCTTGGCCTAACTCTTGATTTTCTTTATTTTCGAGAGCATGAAGTTTGAGCAAAAGTAGTGGAGGGTTCTCTGATTCATTTCAATATCACTGGGAGGTACAAAGGGAAGAGCACTTTCATTAGTCATAGGGGTCATCACAGTCTGGATTTAGTGGGGCTGTGTGTTGGTACCCATGGCCCACTACCTGACCAGGAGATTCTTGGTGAAAAGTCCATCAGTGTTCTACTTCAGATTCTATCGTTGATTAACTAGACTCAGATATTTCTTGGGGAGAGCCCTCAACTAGATCACCCAGGAGTGGATGCCAAATTATTTTTAGGTCACACTGTTCACTGGTCACACATTGCTATCTTGGTGGTAGATGCTTTTTCCATGCCCAGAAATTTGTCAGTTAAGATCTGAATTGTGCCACAAATTAATTGACATTATCTTATAAGGAGGTTTAATTGAGCTAGTAAAGGCTATGAAATGAAACTAGAGATCTGAGTCTGGTCAAATCTTGTCATTACTGTCCTCACCCCATCAGTGACCTTAGAGACAGCTGAGTGGTGCAAGGGGCCATTATAGCCTCTGCAGATGATGGCCCAAACATGTTTTCCAGTAGCAGGGAACACAACTGTCCTCACTCCATCAGTGACCTTAGAGACAGTGGTGTGGCTCAAGGGGTCATTATAGCCCCTGCAGATGATGGCCCAAACATGTTTTCCAGTAGCAGGGAACACGTCATGGGTGGGCAATCCTGTCAGAGCCAAAAATAGTATACAACTGAGGAAGGAGAGGGTTTCAGATGTTTGCATCATTCGTTCCCCTTTCCTCCACTTCCTTAGGCAATATGGGCACTGTCAAGACTCTCTTAAAGAGGCATTCTATAGTGATAAGCTCCACAATATGTCCCTCTTGCTCCCTAAGTTAAACAAGATTATCACTTTATTGTGAAGGCACACTACCCATGTCTCTTAGTGCGGGCAAAATGATCATCAGGACTTTGCATTGTTTTTCATTAAAGCATGAGTCTCAATAACTGACTACATTACAGGCTGTCCACCAGTTTTAGGGGAGTGCCTAGGGCTAAGAACAGTCATTAGGTGCAACTGAGTGTGCAGAGTCTCCAACTTTTTGAGCCCATTAACTTAGGGCCATGAGCAGTAATCACAAAATTACTTCCCTAGCTTTCTCAGAGCCCATCTGCTAGATTTTTCAATTGACTCATTGGATATCTTGGTATGTGAATCAGAGGATAAAGAGACAATTGTTCCATGTCAGAATTGAAAAGCTCATGTAAATAATACATTAGCATTCTAGAAAACCCCATGGTGTCTGCTGGACTTTCTAAGACATGATTGACATGACTGGCAGAGTGCCCTGTGGGATGCTGAGTCTCTTGCAATTGATCCAGTAGTCTCCCCATTCCTTTTCCACTGAGAGTGTCCTGCAGACTCACTAGCACTTTCCAAAGTGTTCCTTCCAGAAAGGCTTTGTGCTTCATTGACCACCCTGCTGTTTGTGGTAGTTTGTCAGAAACAGAAATGCCAGTTTTTGAGTTGGTCTATTAAGTAACAGGCCAAACTCAAAGTCACAATTAACCTTGTTCACTTACTAGCATATTAAAAGCCATAGGCTAGATAGAGGCAGGTCCCCAGCTCTACAGGGTCCCATTTTACCCCACAGAAAAGCACTTAGCAAGTGCATCAGTGTAGACTGTGTGAGTGGGCATGGGATGGGGTTGTCTCACAGTGGAAGGAGCCCCAAGCAAGAAGCTATTTTCCATTTTATGGACCCCAAGGCTGAATTAGCTGGAGCTCTGAACCGCATGGATACCTTTAGTTATTTATTCCCTATTCTAATTCCTCTCAAATTGAGTTCAGATTGCTTAACATATACTAGAACAACAAACCAACTAAAAAGATTTCATGATTTGTTTGCACTCCACCTCCACCTCTCATGTCCAATAGTGAGGGTTTATGTCAAATACTATATTGATGAGTTATTGCTTTTATTTTTTCTTCAATGATTTCATTTCATTATTTCCTTTTAGTTTTCATCACACCTTGTTTTCCTTGTGGATTTAATTTTGTTTTTGAAATCTGTAGGCCATGAAACTACTTTCAAAAGTAAAACAATATATATGCAAAAAGTTAGAGGAGTATATTTTCTTCCCCAGTCCTCTCCCCTCATTTTGTAGGTAACCAACAACATTGTTTCTTATATCTTTCCTCTGCTTCTTTTTGTAAAGATAACTATCTATTTCCTTCTCTATTTTTTTCTCATTTCTTCATCTTCCTTCCCCAAAGATAGCATTCAAGTTTTCCCCTTTGTAGGTATTTTTTTCCTTCACATTATTCTTTGCAATACCTTCAAGTCAATTTATAGACATGTTTAATTTCTTTTATAGTTACACTTACAGTTGTTTGTACCACATTATTTACCATATGTACTATACCATAGTGTGTGGTACAGCACGTACTTGAGTAACATCATTTTGTTCAACATCGTTTGATTATAATGTTAATAAGAAAAAAAGTTGATTCCTAGCCAGGCACATGGTCTGGAGTTAGCACATTCTCCCTGTGTCTGCATGAATTTTCTCTGGGTGCTCCAATTTCCTCCCACATTCCAAAGATATGTATATTAGGTAAATTGGTGTGTCTAAATGGTCCCTGTCTGAGTGAGTGTGGGTATGTGTCTGAGTGCGCCCTGATAAGGCATGGCATTCTGTCGAGGGCTGGTTCCCCCCTTGTGCTCTGAGCTTCTAGGATATGTTCCAACCACCTGCAACTGTTAACTGGAATAAGTGGGCTGGAAATCAAGTGAATGAATGAATACAAATTATTGTAAAATAAAAATTTGTATACAATAATTATGCAAATGCATGACAATAAACAATGCAGTACAAAAGCAGTCTGTAAGCTACCATATTTGTGATTGCTTTTAAATTATATGGTGGGAGGAGGCATTCCTTACAATTTTGCTTTGCTTTTGATTTATTCCTTTGAATAAATCAAGCAGTGTGTTCCTTGACTTAACTCACCACCACTATGACAACCATCACTCACTGATTAACCACAAATTGGGTAAATAATTGTCTTACTTGTTTTTATTATTTTTTCTTAAATCTATGTATAGCTCACATTTATTTTAATGTTTACTATTGGAAGTGTTTTGGGTCTTTATTTAGAAGTTTGTGATGTTTTTGTTACAAAAAAAAATACTGTAGGAACTTAACTCTTGTTTATGTCAATATGCCTATGGTAAAATCGGTTTCATTATGTGTCATTTTGCTTAAGGTCACAGTTTCCAAGATTCTATCAATGACATTATGTGAGGACTTACTGTATATACATATCTCAGTTTATTCAACCAGTCTCCTCTGCTTGAAAGTTTATGTGGTTTTGACTATTTTGCAATTACATATATGTTATAATAAATAACATTGTACGTATGCATTTTTATTTTTATTTCTGTGAATATGTATTAACCTAAAGTATAAATAACATAAGGAAACTAGTGACGAATATGTATCAGATGCCTAGAAATGTTATGAAATAATGAGCTTCAACACACACCCATTAAAAATGTTCTTATAGTAGTCATGTCATATCTGGATTTATGATAATTTACTTACAAATTTATCAGAATGAGAAAATTTTGCTACACAATTACAAGTTTGAAATCTAGAAATTTCACAGTAGGTCTGTTTTTCCATTAAGAGACTAAATGCATCTCCTTATGTAGCTCATGAAGAAGAACCAGGCAAAAATCTTGCACTTGAACATCAAGATTCATTGTCAAAACTGGAAATGCAAATTAAAAAAAATGAAAAACTTCCTAGAGAGAAAAGACATAGTAGTAAGTATAATAATTACAGGTAACTTTAAATTTTAAAAGTTAATCTCATTAGATCATTTTTCTTTGGTTCATGACTATGTAGTTGAGCGTATAGTTTATAGAAATTTTACATGTTACAGTGTGAATACCTTAAAATAACTAGGGAACAATAATATTTGGTTGGAATTTCTGGTCTTGAGACTATTTTATGGCATGCTTATGTGCTCAGTGTCCACCAAATCCAATAAAAGTCATTAGTCTATCAAAGGGTGTTTACTTTCAGCCAACTGTAGGAGATTATGGGTCCAAGTGTTCAACAGGAACCTTGGAACATGTGGCAGTATCCTTCTGTCATAGACTCTAATTGGCAAACAGAAGGTTGGTGAGATGTGTAACTCAAATGACAAAATGTATCAGAGAAGGCCAAGGGGAAAAACAGCCTATGTGGTCATTGAAGGGTCTCCAGAACATACTATCTTTAGGATGCACCTAAGGGTAGAGGTCTTGTTGGTAACCTGATAGATGGTGTCATGAAGATGTTCATGAAGGGAATGTGAGAGCTCCAGTCTGGCTTTCCTTTTATTTGTTGGGGCTGAGAGTGACTAAAGCTGAGAGTGACCCAGCCCTTGCTGGGTAGTGTTTTTGTCTGGGCCCAGTGAAGGATGCGATGAATATAGTGGAAGGCCAGTGCTTCATCTGGGAGTGGTGCTGTTTTCATGTCACAGCCTTGAGGAGGACGTTAAAGGTGTAATGCAGCCCACTTAGTGTAAGGCAGACTGATCTTGATCATCTTTGTGGACAAGGATGCTGAAAAGGGCATTTACAATGTCAATTGCTTTATAACTATTTGCCTCAGCTTGGGTAGTAGCCTCTGTGATAGTCATAATGTCAGGTAACACCAGTGCCAAAGACAGAACTATGGCATGAGCCACCAATAGTCAATTATTTTCCAGGCACACAATGCCTTAAGCAAAAGGCCAGATGGTGAACTTTGGCTTCCTTAAGCACAGCAATGAAGACATTTTTTTTTTCATCCCCAAGACAGTCGATAGTGTTTTTAAGAGACAAAGACACTAGGTGCTGGTAGTCTGGCTGGTTTAGTCTTCCATATACCCCACTAAAACGGTCCTAATTGCAACAATTCCCCTCAGGGATGCGGGGTGAATACAGTCAGGGGTAGACATAGACAATATGTCATAGCAACAACCCATTCAGTAATGGGTACCATAATGATGGAAGTATGTAGTGGCTTGAAGAGACCTACCTGTAGTCAGATCAGGATCTTGGTGGTAGTGGCCTCCAGCTGAAACCCAGAGAACATTATCTATTTCCTCCTCATTCTCATGCCAGGGATTTTGGGGATCACAGTCACCTGTGTGCTATTATGCAAAAGGCCCAAGAAATGAAATTCTCCATGTCCACTTTGAACTTTAACTTTGATATAGGGCCTCCATTCCTCACTGGGGACATAGGGACATTGGCCATGTCATAGTTTTGTTTTCTGTTTTTTTTAAAAAACTAAAATATTTGCATAAAAATTGGCAGGGCTCTCTAATTCTTTTCAAACTTCAATGGGAGAAGAGGAGAGCAGCATTTTTATTAGTTATAGGGGCCAGCACTGGGCAGACCCTAGGAGGCTACCATTGAGCCCACAGTGGCACACTACCACCAGGCCATGAGTTAGGTGAAGAGCCCATTAATCTCCTTTTGTGAGTCCTTACTTTTGGGTAACCAAACCTAGAGATCGCTTTGGTGAGGCCCTTACTTAGGTCATTGAGGAGTGTGTGCCTAATGACTATTTTTATGTTGCTGTCTCTGGTGATCTCTTTTTGCTTTTTTGTAGCAGTTGCTTCTTCCATGCTGAGGAATTTGTCATCTCTAGGCCATTGATTACAGTATCACAATAAATGAAAAAAATTATGATCTAGATCAGTGGTCCTCAACCTTTTTCACACCAGAGAAAGTGAACAAATTTAACATTTTTTCCATGGACCAGGGCCAAGGTGGGGAATGATTTTGGGATGATTCAAGTGCATTACATTTATTGTGCACTTTATTTATATTATTATTACATTGTAATATGTAATGAAATAATTATACACCATAATGTAGAATCAGTGGGAGCCCTGAGCTTGTTTTCCTGCAACTAGATGGCCCCATGTGAGGCTAATGGAAGACAGTGACAGATCATCAGGCATTAGATTCTCATAAAGAACACACAACCTGGAACCACCCAAGATGGCCAAATAGGAACAGCTCCAGTCTACAGCTCCCAGCACCAGCGACCAAGAAAATGGATGATTTCTGCATTTCCAACTGAGGTACCGGGTTCATCTCACTGGGACTGGTTGGACAGTGGGTGCAACCCATGGAGTGTGAGCTGAAACAGTGGGGCATCACCTCACCTGGGAAGCACAAGGGTCAGGGGATTCCCTTTCCTAGTCAAGGGAAGCCGTAACAGACAGTACCTGGAAAATCAGGACACTCCCGCCCTTTTATAGCACTTTTCCAACAGTCTTAGCAAATGGCACACCAGGAGATTATATCCCATGCCTGGCTTGGTGGGTCCCACACCCATGGAGCCTTGCTCACTGCTAGCACAGCAGTCCAAGATAAAACTGCAAGGTAGCAGCGAGACTGGGGGAGGGTCTCGCCCATTGCTGAGGCTTGACTAGGTAAACAAAGCAGCTGGGAAGCTCGAACTGGGTGGACCCCACTGCAGCTCAACAAGGCCTGCCTGCCTCTGTAGACTCCACCTCTGGGGGCAGGGCGTAGCTGAACAAAAGGCAGCAGAAACTCCTGCAGACTTAAATGTCCTTGTCTGACAGCTTTGAAGAGAGCAGTGGTTCTCCCTGCATGGAGTTTGAGATCTGAGAATGGACAGACTGCTTCCTAAAGTGGGTCCCTGACCCCCGAGTAGCCTAACTGGGAGACACCGCCCAGTAGGGGCCAACTGACACCTCATACAGCCAGGTGCCCCTCTAAGACAAAGCTTCCAGAGGAAGAATCAGGCAGCAACATTCACTGTTCTGCAATATTTGCTGTTCTGCAGCCTCCGTGGGTGATACCCAGGAAAACATGGTCTGGAATGGACCTCCAGCAAGCTTCAACAGACCTACAGCTGAGGGTCCTGACTGTTAGAAGGAAAACTAACAAATAGAAAGGATTAGCATCAACATCAACAAAAAGGACATCCATACCAAAACCCCAAATGTAGGTCACCATCATCAAGGACCAAAGGTAGATAAAACCACGAAGATGGGGAGAAACCAGAGCAGAAAAGCTGAAAATTCTAAAAACCAGAGCACCTCTTCTCCAAAGGATTGCAGCTGCTTGCCAGCAACAGAACAAAGCTGGATGGAAAATGAATTTGACGAGTTGAGAGAAGTAGGCTTCAGAAGATCGATAATAATAAACTTCTCCAAGCTAAAAGAGGATGCTTGAAACCATTGCAAGGAAGCTAAAAACCTTGAAAAATGATTAGAAGAATGGCTAACTAGAATAAACAGTGTAGAGAAGATGTTAAATGACCTGATGGAGCTGAAAACTGTGGCACGAGAACTATGTGATGCATGTAGAAGCTTCAGTAGCCAGTTTGATCAAGTGGAAGAAAGGGTATCAGTGACTGAAGATCAAATGAATGAAATGAAGGGAGAAGAGAAGAGAAGCTTAGAGAAAAAACAGTAAAAACAAACCAACAAAGCCTCAAAGAAATATGGGATTATGTGAAAAGACCAAATTTATGTTTGATTGGTGTACCTGAAAGTGACAGGGAGAATGGAACCAAGTTGGAAAACACTCTTCAGGATATCATCCAGGAGAACTTCCCCAACCTAGCAAGGCAGGCCAACATTCAAATTCAGGAAATACAGAGAAAGCCACAAAGATACTCCTCGAGAAGAACAACCCGAAGACACATAATTGTCAGATTCACCAAGGTTGAAATGAAGGGAAAAATGTTAAGCAGCCAGAGAGAAAGGTCGGGTTACCCACAAATGGAAGCCCATCAGGCTAACAGCAGATCTCTCAGCAGAAACTCTACAAGCCAGAAGAGAGTGGGGGCCAATATTCAACATTCTTAAAGGAAAGAATTTTAAACGCAGAATTTCATATCCAGCCAAACTAAGCTTCATAAGTGAAGGAGAAATAAAATCCTTTATAGGCAAACAAATGCTGAGATATTTTTTCACCACCAGGCCTGCCTTACAAGAGCTTCTGAAGGAAGCACTAAACATGGAAAGGAACAATAGGTACCAGCCACTGCAAAAACATGCCAAATTGTAAAGACCATCGATTCTAGGAAGAAACTGCATCAATTAATGAGCAAAATAACCAGCTAACATCATATTGACAGGATCAAATTCACATATAACAATATTAACCTTAAATGTAAATGGGCTAAATGCCCCAATTAAAAGAACAGACTGGCAAATTGGATAAAGAGTCGACCTGAGGGGCACGCCCAAGATGGCCGAATAGGAGCAGCTCCAGCGTCCAGCTCCCAGTGTGAGGGACACAGAAGACGGGTGATTTCTGCATTTTCAACTGAGGTACCGGGTTCATCTCACTGGGGTGTGTCGGACAGTTGGCGCTGGTTTGCAGGTGCATCCCAACCAGCAAGAGCTGAAGCAGGGCGAGGCATTGCCTCCCCTGGGAAGTGCAAGGGGAAAGGAAATTCCTTTTCCTAGCCAAAGGAAATTGAGACACACAACACCTGGAAAATCAGGTAACTCCCACCCTAACACTGTGCTTTACCAAGGGTCTTCGCAAACTTCACACCAGGAGATTATATCCCACACCTGGCGCAGAGGGTCCCACGCCCATAGAGCCCCCCTCATTGCTAGCACAGCAGTCTGAGATCTAACTGCAAGGCAGCAGCAAGGCTGGGGGAGGGGCACCTGCCATTGCTGAGGCTTCATTGGTAAACAAAAGCACCTGGAAGCTCGAAATGGGTGGAGCGCACCACAGCTCAAGGAAGCCCGCGTGCCTCTGTAGACTCCTCCTCTGGGGACAGGACATAG